CCCAGGCCAGCCACGGCCACAGGACACTACCATGACATCCGAGATAGCTGCGGCCGTGCCCAGTAATTATGGTATTCCCTGGGGTAATGAACCTTTAGACTCACAATGCTGTCACAGTATCAGTGCAGCACAGTCCCCATGCAGATAAGGGGCTGTGGGGAGACTATCTCCCAGGATGATAAAAGAACAGAAACTTCCCGTTTCCACCATAAAAAATCCTCCCTGCCGTCTCCCCCACTCGAACTCCCTGGCTAACACTCGACCTGCGCTACAGAGTTTAGTCAGCAAAAGAGGCAGCGGGTAGATCGAACTCCGTATGTGCCCACAAGCAGTCCTGAGTCACGCCAGTAAAACCCCAAACTTTTTGTTGGTAGAGTAAAATCCACCTCCCCAGCCAACGCAAGTTCCTCTCCCCTCTTTCCCCGGCAAACAGCCTGACCAGGCAGTGCCTTGTTAACACCAGTGAAAACCATCTTCCGTCCAAAAACCCACAGAGCCCCACGTCCGCAGTGGTGGCTTCTCAGGTCGCGAAATCACTGGGACCAGAAACAAGCACCCAGAGAGCAGCTCTACACAGCAGAGAAGAGTTTCCTCCAGCAACGACCACCTTTGCAGACAACAGGGGCAAAGCAAACTCTGGCTCAGCCCTGGACTGCAGCCCAGAGCGGGAAAATAAAAGTGGCAGCTTCCAGAAAGAAGCATTATCCACTGAAAAAAAGCAGGGGAGCATCCCTCCAGGGAGGGAAATGGATTGCCGAAGCTCAGCTAAATATTCATCACATCCGACATGATATTTTCCAGGCGCCCACCGTTACGGTAGCAGAAGCGGCACGAGGAGGAGGGCAGGAGCAAAGCACTGCGCTCTCCATATGACTCTTACAATTAACCAAGCGCAGGCTCCACGACGCTTCAATTAGAATTAAAATAAAAGCCCGGCTCAGCGGGATAAAGCCCTGCTCCTGCAGGTCACGTGTACTTTCAGCAGAACTGCCTTTTTTTTTGGGGTGGCAGCGGGAAAAGTGTGAATGGCACACGAGACAGTACAGAATTCACAGCCGACTGACCTGCGTAACGGCGCTGTGCTCCCACGGAGGGCACGGCCGGGGTGCAGGACGGACCCGTCCCCACCGCTTATTTACCTACCCAGAATAGATGCACCACCAGAACAAGCACCAGTTCATCCCCGGGTTCTGGCATCCCTCACCGCTGATTTCTCCAAGCCTCGGTGTCGAAGGAGAGCTGCCTTCCCAGCAACGCAGCTGGACTCCAGCCAGACCCTGCCCTCTCTCCCCAACAGCACCCACCTTCCCGGAGGAACATCTCTCCCCTAAAGGGAAGGAGATGCTTTTGAATTACTCGGGCACCGGCGCTGGGTGAGCCTGGGGAGGCCAAGCAGGTCTTCTCCCTCCAGACCCCATCCGCACCTCCTCCCTCCCGCCGCTGCACAGCGCTGCTTTCTCCTGCAAACTGCTCGGTTTTGGGAGACATGTGCCTCCCTGTCAGCACCCTCCTCGGCACGGGGGTCTTCATGCAGGCTACGCATTCAGAATCACAGAGTCACAGAATGTTCGGGGCTGGAAGGGCCCTCTGTGGGTCACCCAGCCCAACCCCCTGCCCAAGCAGGGTCACCCAGAGCAGGCTGCACAGCACCGCGTCCAGGCGGGGCTGGAATATCTCCAGAGAAGGAGACTCCACAGCCTCCCTGGGCAGCCTGGGCCAGGGCTCCGTCACCCTCAGAGGGAAGAAGTTCTTCCTC